ATCAAGATTGCCAGGAGAAATATCAATCACCTCAGATATGCAGATGACACCACCCTTATGGCAGAAAGGGAAGAAGAACTAAAGAGCCTCTTGATGAAAGTGAAAGAGGAGAGTGAAAAAGTTGGCTTAAAACTCAACATTCAGAAAACCAAGATCATGGCATCCAGTGCCATCACTTTATGGCAAATAATGGAAACAATGGAAACAGTTACAGACTTTATTTTCTTGGGCTCCAAAATCACTGCAGATGGTGACTGCAGCCATGAAATTAAAAGATGTTTGCTCCTTGGAAGAAAAGCTATGACCAACCTCAGCATATTAAAAAGCAGAGACGTTACTTTGCTGACCAAAGTCCATCTAGTCAAAGCTATGGTTTTTCCAGTGGTCATGTATATCCATACATGTGAGAGTTGGAGTATAAAGAAAACTGAGCGCCGAAGAATTGATGCTTTTGAACTGTGGTGTTGGAGAAGACTCTTGAGAGTCCCTTGGACAGAAAGGAGATCCAACCAGTCCATCCTAAAGGAGATCAGTCTTGGGTGTTCATTGGAAGGACTGATCCTGAAGCTGAAACTCCACTACTTGGGCCACCTGATGTGAAGAACTGACTCATTGGAAAAGACCCTTTTGCTGGGAAAGATTGAATGTGGAGAAGGGGACGACAGAAGATGAGATGACTGGATGCATCACCAACTCAATAGACATGAGTTTGAGCAAGCTCCGGGAGTTGGTGATGGACAGTAAAGCCTGGCGAGCTATAGTCCATGGGGTCGCAAGGAGTCGGGCACTACTGAGGGACTAAACTGAACTGAACTGATATTTAAAAAATATATAAATATCAAATAGTATGTAACCTTTTGGAATTGGCTTTTTTTCACTTGGCATAATTCTCATCCAGGATTCATCGCGTATGTTGTTGCCTGTATTGTTCCTTTCTACTGCTCAGTAGTATTCCATGGTATAAATGTGTCAGATTGTTTCATCACTGTTTTCCAGAGAGGCTGTATCATTTTAGACTCCAGCCAACAATATATGAATGATCCAGTTTCTCTGTATCCTCAGTAGCATTTAGTTGTGTTATACAAAGATACTGTATATATATGCATAGTGTGTGTATATATATATGTACATATTTATATACACAGTACAGTGTCAGATACCAGTGAGAGGTTTTAAGATGAGAACTAAAATTGTCTCTTGCATATATCAGGTGCACATACCTTAGCAACTAAGGGGTTAGTGCTCATTTTTTGTTGGTACTTTTAGTGGGAGAAATGAAGGCAGAAGCCTAGGAATAACTGATTGAAGCAAAGTAAGGAAGCAGAGACAAGGAATGAATACCATTCTTTGGAAAAGGGTGAACAATAGAGAGTATTACTGCAAAAAGACTTTTTAACTGGGGGAAATATTTTTAGGCTGAGGTTGAATCAGTGGAGAGAAAGAGGTTGAAAATAGAGGAAAAACGTTTCACAAATTGTCGACCATAAGTGTAATAATACTCAAAATTCATTTTAATGAAAAATATATAGAATAGAGATTTGTGGAACAAGGTCCCAGGGGAATGGGAGAAGATTAGGTTCAGATTGGAGGCAAGGAGGTGTAAAGCAGGGTAAAGTGAAAGTGAAGTTGCTCAGTCATGTCCGACTCTTTGCGACCCCATGGACTGTACCCTGCCAGGCTCCTCTATCCATGGCATTTTCCAGGCAAGAATACTGGAGTGGGCTGCCATTTCCTTCTCCAGGGGCCCTTCCTCACCCAGGGACTGAACCCAGGTCTCCTGCACTGCAGGCAGACTCTTAACCATTTGAGCTAACAGGGAAGCCTGGTAAACAGGCTTAAAGCAGGGTAAACAGATTAATTTGTGTTTCAGTGATTGAGCCTGATGGTTTTGTCTTTGCAGGGCTCTGTGGAAAGAGAGGGAATTTGAGAAGAGTCTTGAGGGTTGGAACAGTTGCTGAGGTGATGCTGAGCAAAGGAAAGGAACAGGATTTTGGGGCCTAAGGAAAGAACACATGGTATCAGTTTTCACATTGGGTCAAGGGAAGACTTGAGAAAGGATTGAAAAGTAAGATTGAGTTGGAAAATAGGTGTAAAGTTATTAAGGGAGACAGAGATGGAAGAGAAGATCCTAAACTGAAAAGATATTGGAGTTAAGATTCCAGAGGTCAAGGAGTTTTAGATTCATGAAGTCCAAGAAAGTAGGATAAGGAAATAGTGTGAAGATGAAAGGCGCTATGTTTCATGAAACCTTGAGTGGTAAAGAGTTTGTAGTTTGTATTTTATCTTCATATTGATGAGAAATCATCAAGGAAGGAACATGACAGTATTAATCTGTAAGAAACACAACTCTATGGAAATTCAGAGAATGGGCAAAACTGGAAGCAACCAGAGACATATTAGGCACTTTTGCACCCAGCTGAAGGACGTGATCCCATTTACAGCCCCTGTAGAGGGGAGAGCGGTCAGGCTGCCCACAAAATTTCTACCTTCTTGATTGAACCCAGTTAACTGAATCATTCTGTTTCAATTATCTGTTCTGGGAAAGATCCACCTCTTCAGATGTATTTCACCCACAATCATCTTTACAAGTGTAATTAAACTTTTTCTGAGTAACCTCAGGAGCAACTAGCTCCTTAATATTTTCATGCTATTGAAATTTTGGGCCCAGATATGGCCACAGTGGGTGGAGACAGCATGATGTTTCTTGCCTTTCACTACTTTTCTGAGAGGATTTGGAAATTTTTCAGAAACTTAAGGCATATAGTTTCTCTTATCTGGAACAGTTACTTTATATTTTTTTGTTTATATTTGTCTCTTCTATCACACTGTAAGTTCCTTCACAGTAACTGCATTGAATTAATTTTGTTATAATGTGGTACCTAAGTATCTTGGTACTCTCTGGCTGAAAAATACATGTTTAAAAAACATTTAGGATATGAGTGAGTAACTGAATGAACAAATGATGGCTCCCACAGAGAGAGCCTTGGGCTAGTAGTAAAGAACCCGCCTGCCAATGTAGGAGACACAGGAGATGAGGGTTCAATCCCTGGGAGGGAAGATTCCTTTGGAGGAGGGCGTGGCAACCCACGCCAGTATTCTTGTCTGGAGAATCCCAATGGACAGAGGAGCCTTGTCGGTACAGTCCATAGGGTCGCACAGAGTCGGACACGACTGAAGCAACTTAGCACGCACGCAGATGATCTCAGTTGTAATACCCAAAGAATTTTCAGACGAATAAAAAGTGCCATTCCATCCATATATGCTTAATTTGGAAGCAACTGTAAAGAGACACCTTGTGAGCTCGGTTCCCCCGAAGGGAAATGGCAGGCAGTTCTTTTCCGTAGGGCAGCACGACGACCGCCTGCTGGAGCTAGTGAGCCCGGTTTCCCTGCTGGGAAGAGGCCGAGACCACTTTCCGTACAGCAGCATGGTGGCCGCTAGCGGGGGCGGCCATAGCAGCATGCCCGGGGGAAGAGGCCGCCGTAAAGGAGGCGCTGTTTCCTCTTCTTACTTCTCCCGCCTCCCACCGGCTGTCGTAAAAGGGTGAATGGAGAGCGAGTTGTGGGGGGTAGAAAGGGAGGACAAGGGGCGCGGAGTCAGAGTGGCGCAGCAAGTGGCTGCAGGTGGCGACGGTGGCGGGGGGTGAGGAGTGAGGTGGTTCAGGGGTCGCGGAGGAGGAGGCTGAGAGGGCCCAAAGACAAACTAAAGCGGCAGTCTGGCCTACTGGTCCGGGGGCCGCGGAGCCCCCGCCTGGGGAGATGGACCTCAACCGGATCATCCAGGCACTGAAGGGCACCATCGACCCGAAGCTGCGGATTGCGGCCGAGAATGAACTCAACCAGGTGAGGAGCGGGCCCCCGGCCGCCTCGCCGGGCTCTCCCTCTTCGGCGCCCCTGATCTCCACCCCGACCCGGGCCCCCGACCCGGGACCCCAGACCCCGGACCCCACCGCGGCTCTCGGCCGGTTCCGTCCCCGCCCCCGCCCCAGGGGCCGGTGGAGCCGTACTCCCTGGATCTTTTCTCAACGGCTCACGCACCTGTTGGCCACCTTTGCGTCTTTCCCTGTCGTTTTCCTTCCCGGTGCAGTTTGTTCAGCTCGCCTGGTCCGCAGAAAGAAGCTTTAGCAAGCTTTGCTAGTGTTTTCGGGATGTGATTTCTTTTCCTTAAGTACGCCGAGTTGGAGGGAAAATTCACTTAAAATTCAAACCTGAGTTCTTTTTTCTGCAGACCCAGACCTTTTTAGGTGTTGTGGGAAACCCTGTCCGTTCGCCTGCTTCTGTGGGGTTGGCAGGGCCGCTTAGACACCAAGTGGCAGAGTTTGCTGGAGCGCTGGGGAAATGCTGGCGAAGAGTGCTTTGGGAAGAATAGGCAGTTTTTATGGTGGTGGTGCTTTGCGAAAGCCACGCCGAATAGTAGGAGTTTGTAGAGGTTTTTTAAAAAACGGTAAAATGTGTGAGACTTTCTTTTATTCCCTTTCCTTTATTCTTACTAACTAGCGTTGACCTTGTTCCAGCGATATCACCGACGTTGCTAAATTGAATGACCCCAAACTCTAGGTTGTATTTCCTCCTCACCTGTAAGAATGAATCATAAACTTATCACTGCAAAGTACGAATTAAGGTCTACCTCCAGGATAGAGTGACAGGTTTGAGGTTGCAGTAATCCTTAAAATGTAAAGGTATATACCTGAATTAGTGGTTCTCAAAGCGCTGTCCAGAATGAGCAACGTCAACATCATTTGGGAACTTGTTGGAAATGCAAATTATGGGGCTTCACTCTAGACTTAAGGAATTAGAACCTCTGGGGATGGGGCCCAGTTGTGTTTTAATTAACTAGCTGGGTGATTCTGTGCTTCCTAAAGTGTGAGAATGACTGTCCTAAGTAGGTGTGTCATAGGTTTTCCCGCGATGGAATTGACTTTGAAGTGCAGATATCTCTTGTGAATCTTTGAAAGGGATTGTTTTAATGGGAAATCTGGGTGGAGTTAAATGTGAATCCAGGATGAGAGAGTGAAAATAACTGACTCTGGAGAGAAGATTGAGTTTAACTGACGCCCAAAGGGAATATATTGGTGCTTCAGAGAGAAAAGGACTCTCTCTCAGAATAGGGGAAAGTTAAGGTCAGTACCTGTCCCAGGCTTTGCAGAGTAAAAGTACTACGTGTTGCTTAGTTGGAAGAGTAGTAATCCAGGCGTTGGCTAGGAGCAACAAAACAAGAGCTGAACTTGCATTCTGCTAGTGTGAACAGGGGAGCTGGCCTGTTTATGACCCCCTTCTCTTCACAGTGTGGCCAGATGTTATTTTGATAGTGTGGACAGGGATCGTATCTTTTCTCTCTTGTTGTACTGCTCTGCCTCTGTTAGCCTATGCTTGTGTTGTTTCTGAGTCATCAGTATGTAAGTGCAGCTGACTTTATAGAAGTGGAAAGGGAAGGTGGAAAACCTGCAGAACTGCAAGAGATATTTAGGACCCCATACCCTTTTCTTCGTGGTGTGTGCATGCTTAGTCGCTCAGGCCTGTCCGACTCTTTGCCACCCTGTGGACTGTAACCCACCAGGCTCCTCTGTCCATGGGATTCTCCACTGGAGGGGGTTGCTATGCCCTCCCCCAGGGGATCTTCCCAGGGATCAAAACAGTGTCTCTTAGGTCCCCTGCACTGGCAGGTCGGTTCTTCACCATTAGTGCCGCCTGGGAAGCCCCTTTGTTCGTGATATTTCAATCCAAATCCATACCAATCTAACTCTGCCCTGCCCCATATCCACCCAGCTCACTACAGACCACAGCTGCCTCTGCAACTTCTGAAAGTAGCTTATTGCTGTGTCACTCATTTAGCATTTATACTTAGTATAATATAATGTTTTGGATTGTAATATGCTCTAAGTATTCTTTTGAATTGTAAGTAGAAGACCAAAATATAATGTCACATAACCTTTTAATAAATAAGGTTTTAATGTCGGGTTTTGTATGCTTTATCCTTTACCACCATTGTAACATCCTTCTTTGTTGGATAAACCGGTGGGTAACCTACCACAAGTGATTAGGGTCCAGCTCATTTATTTTAGTGACTGAACAACAAGAGTAAACTTTTGAATTATTTTATAATTGTTCTTCTTTTCATCCTCTATAAACTGCAGAATCTTAAATTTTTGTATATGAAGTAAATTCTTTATCTATAATTGAAGCCACTAAGTTGTGTCTAACTCTTTGTGACCCCAAGGACTGGAGCATGCCAGGCTTCCCTGTCTTTCACTGTCTCCCAGAGTTGCTCAAGTTCATGTCCATTCAGTCGGTGATGCCATCTGACCATCTCATTCGCTGTCACCCGGTTCTTTTACCTTCAGTCTTTTCCAGTGGGTCGGCTCTTCCCATCAGGTGGCTAAAGTATTGGAGCTTCAGCTTCAGCTTCGGTCCTTTCAATGAGTATGAAAAGAATCAATATTTTAAAGATGCCAATTTTCTCCATTTTTTTGGTTGAACATTTATCTCAATGAATGTTATTAAAAATAATAGGAAAGGTGATAAATTAAAAAAAAAAGGAGTTGTGTGCATAAACCTAGTGGTGCACTGAAAGGGATGCCACCATAGATCCAGGCTCTAGGGAGGAGGTAAGCAGAACAGACTCTTTGTGACATTGTCTGGCTTAGCCTCACTGAGAATTTATGAGTCTTTTCTGGGAATGTCAGCAGGCAAGGCCAAGTGTAAGCTCTGGGAATGTGGCAGGCCTGTAATGTGGTCCAGGTACTAGACATCTGGAGGGAATATGATCAGAAGGAATAGGCTGCTTGCTCTCTCTTTTTTTTTGCATCTATATTCACCATGGCCAATCTCAGGAGTAGGTCAGAGTAAAACATGTCTGTGGGGAGACGTGGCCCAGGCAGTAGGCACCTCATCAGCGCAGGCCCACTGGGGCACTGCTAAGTTTAAAAGATGCTCTGGCAGCGGAGGGGAGCTGGTGACAAGAGCACTCAACCCTCTCTTGAGATATATACACTGTTGCAATCTGGACTGGCTTATGCATAGCCATTGTTCATTTTCTCTGTTGGATCTCCCATTTTCTGTAGCCCATGTTTTCTTTTCATCAAAAGTACTAACAAAATTGAAGTACAGATAAGCTGGAAGGAAACACTTGTATAAGTCACTCGCCTGGAAAACCGCATTGACAGAGGAGCCTGGCGGGCTACCGTCTATGGGGTTGCAGAGTCAGACATGACTTAGTGACTGAGCACAATGTATGAGTCAAATAAAAATTTGAAATTTTAAATTCATAAAGTAGCTCCTAGAATTTATTAAGAATAAAACAAATATTCCCATTACAGAAGATGAGGGGAATAAAGAATTTGTGGAAGAAAACAAATAGCCAACCAACAGGAAAAAAATTCAAGCTAGAGTAAGTGTAATTTAAAATATGAAGAAGGATGAAAAGTTTTGAAGGAATGATAATGCTAGTCTCTATATTAGATGGATGGGCACACATATAATCTACCATCGGAAGCATAAATTGCCACACCCTTTCTTTAGAACATTTTGACAATGTGTATCTAAAAAAACATAGAAGTGTTCTTACTCTTTTATTCATTGATTTATTCTAAGTAAATTTTTTTGTATTTTAGTAATCTTCATTTTGCTTTGGAGAGTTTCTTTTCCTTTAAATGTTTTTCTTTTGTTTGGACAGGAATGTATTCAGGAACAGGTTCTGACAGTTATTCACTTGCATTGCCCTATTTTTAATAAAATATTTCTTTGTAATTTCAGTCTTACAAGATTATCAATTTTGCCCCCAGTTTACTTCGGATTATAGTGTCTGAGCATGTGGAATTCCCAGTGCGCCAGGCAGGTGAGTTGTTTTTTTTTTAAGTGCTTTATAAGATTATTTATGGACTAAGTAAATTTTTTTGTATTTTAGTAATCTTCATTTTGCTTTGGAGAGTTTCTTTTCCTTTAAATGTTTTTCTTTTGTTTGGACAGGAATGTATTCAGGAACAGGTTCTGACAGTTATTCACTTCCATTGCCCTATTTTTAATAAAATATTTCTTTGTAATTTCAGTCTTACAAGATTATCAATTTTGCCCCCAGTTTACTTCGGATTATAGTGTCTGAGCATGTGGAATTCCCAGTGCGCCAGGCAGGTGAGTTGTTTTTTTTTTAAGTGCTTTATAAGATTATTTATGGATAAAACTAGAACTAGAGTTTTATTTCATTTCTAAATATCTGCTTTCTTTGAAAACATAGGAAATATACATGAGGTATTTTTCATGGCTTAAAAACTGACTCTCTTTTTCCCTGGAAATTTAGAGGTCCATATGGAGCTCTAAAATCTCCCATAGCTTTTTCTGTCCTCTTCTATCTAGCTATTAATATGGTTCCTTTTCTCTATTACTTTGGCATTTTTCCTCTTAGCTTATTCAGTTTTAATAGCTTTATCTCCCTAATTTTTAATGATTCCTGGTGGCTTTGCCTTTAGACCCATAGATTAACATCATGAATTTATGTATGTGAATTTGGCTCCATTCCATGTGTCAGATCATGGAGGGGGAAGGTTTGCACAGGTGTTCCTAACCGCACGATGGGAAGCAGAACTTTTATTATAAACATGAACCTTGCTTTTGGGTCTGTGGATCTTAGAGTAGTTCCTTGATGTTTTTTTAATTATTATTCTTCCTTTTTTAAATGAACTGGTCATTAGAAACCAGAAGGTTAAAAATGGAGCATGAAGAGTCCTGGAAAGAAAATAATTTCAAGTGAAGGGGATAAAATGACAGTAGCTAATTTATAAGTATATGATTGAAGAGACTTTTTAAAAATTATGTGACGTACACTCATAAATAAATTTGGCAATATAGAAAAATACTCAAAAAAGTAAAAAAATTACCCTACATTCATTACTCAGAAATGGCCATCATTAACATTAGGTGACCATTACTCTGTGCATGTGTTCAGATAGAAGAGGCTAGATGAACAGTTTTATAGAAATGGAATTATACTCTACATGCTGATAAAAGCATTTAGTTTTATTTGAACATAACAGAATAAAGTAGGGAATCATTAAATTTTGGAAAAATATGTATGATTTCCTAAACGATCCCTTTGTGGTTAAATTATCTTATGAAAAAATAAATTTCTTATGAAAAAACTATGGAAAAACATTCATGGTGGAATTATTTTTACTTTAATAAGGTTTGTGAGACTTCAGTGTAAGTTTTTTGAAATCACAATTTTCAGTTTAATGTTTGTTTTATAAAATAGGGCTGTTTTGAAACCACATTTTGTTAAATGTAACTTACTTTAATAACCTAAGTTGTTTATAGGGCCATTGTGAATTTGCTATAAAGCTTTGCAATGGAAATAGTATTTTTAAGGATCTTAAAGCAGTTTATTAAATTAATAAGTCTTATTTATATAACATACAAATAAACAGAATTTATATTATTAGATTGCTCTTGAACCTACCCCGAGAGATAGCTACTATCAACTTTGGTGCTTGGTTCTCTAATTCTTTTTCTTTTTCTCTAGATATGCTGATTTTAAAAAGTAATAAAAATCTGTTTGTACTACACATGCTATTTTGTAATTTCCTTTTTTTTCCATTTAACCATATACCCTTGGGAGATCATTCCATGTCAGTGCACATACATATACTTCATTCTTTGTAACAATTACTTAGTATTATTTTTTTTAAAGAGAAAGTATATTTTTGAGATTTCCATACTCCCATTCCTCTATATATTCTTTTTTTTTTTTAATTTATTTTTGTTTGGAGGATAATTGCTTTACAATGTTGTGTTGGTTTCTGCTGTAACATGAGCCAACTGTAAGTATACGTATATTCTCTTGAGCCTCCCTCCCACCCCTTCCCCATTCCACCCTTCTACAGTGTCATAGAGCACTGGGCTGAGCTTCCTGTGTGACACAGCGGCTTCCCACTAGTTCTCTGCCTTATACATGGTAATGTATATATTTCAGTGCTACTCCCTCAGTTTGTCCCATTCTCTCCTGCTGCATTTCTTTGAATTAGAACTACCATAGTGTATTTAAGCAATCTGATACTGGTGGGCATGTCCCTTATTGCCCCTTTTTCTTGTTTTTGTTAGAGGTAACATTAAAATGAACATTCTTGAACACATATCTCTGGCTACTAGTGGGGATATTTTAATAGGATGAAACAAATGGAAATGCTAGGTTAATGATGTTAACAATATTAACATTTACAATTTTGAATCTTATCACCAAGTTGCACTTGCTTACTTTTTCTATCAACGGTGCATTAGAATGCAGGGTTTTCCATATCCTCACCAGTTCTATACAACTTTGAATCTTAATAACTTAGGTAATTAAGTTTTGATATAAAATGTAATTAGCATTTAAAAGCTAACTTTTATTTATAATTTACGTAGATTTTAAATCTGTTAGCCACAGGACAGAGTTTCTCTTGGTTGTTGATCATGTCCTAATTTATTAGGGACAACTTTTTACTTTACAGCATCCATTTTATTATACAGTCTGTGTATATACTGTGTAGAAGTCTACATTATAACTATCCTAAATTTAAGTGCCATTTATAAATTTTCTTTTCTGTTTAACCTATTATTAGAATACAAAGATACCCCAAGAATCATGGTGACCCTTGGACAATTTATCATTTTAGCATGACCTAAAACAGAATGTTGTGATATTTGATTTTAAAAAATCAGCCTGTTTGTATAAAGTGTAAAAGTTATGCTACAATATTAAGTGGAAAGACATGGTTCTGTGAAATATTCAGTTCTTGATTTTTTTTTGCTTGTGGGTAATTAATATTCTTGCTATTATCAAGAAAGCTGGTTAGTGAATGTCCTTTATTACTTTACTGGTAAGGAATAGGAAATAAGTGTAATATTTTGATATTGGCAAGCTAAACAAGATAAATTTCGATGTTTGCTCCACTGTTTTCCTTTTGATTGGTAGGCTTAGTAGCATTATCAAGGTGTTGACCTCATTGTTTCAGAATACACAACCTAGAAATTAACAGGAAGTTGCCTCTGATTAGTCCAGAAGCACCTCAAGATGCTCTTTTGTTAAAATTGATGTATCTTATTTGTAGGAAACTCTATGGCTTTTACTCAGAATCTATTTAATCTTGTTTTAGATATAATTTACACACTTCATTACCTTGTTTCTTGGCCTTTAACAGATTAAAGTAATAACAAGAGAGAAGAGGAGAAGGGCTACCACATTACTATGAAAAATAGAATAACTTAGAAACATCAACTCAAAAAGCATAGCATTCCGCTTCACTAAGTTTGCTTGCATCCTTTCCACTTTGATGTTATAGAACCCAGTTGATCTGTGTGCTGGTGGCTCTGGGTCCAGAAGATAGAGCATATGTGATGATTCATTGTGTTTCAAAAGGGGAGAAATGCGTGTATATTTTAAAGTTAATTTCAAACTTAAGATGCTCTAAGTTATGAGTAGATTTTTCAGAAAAACAAATTTTAATACTTAATTTTTTTATGAATGAATTAAGATATTTGTATTTACTTAGCTCTGGCATGTGGTTAGATAGACATTTGAATTAAATGATTAAGGGGATATTTTTAGATTATTGGTAGAGTTTCAGTTATTTTTGGTATTTTCCCTTCATTATCTTTAGTAATCCATGATTATAAGCATAATTAATATTCTATTTTCAAATTATTACATTAAATTCAGTTTTATTTTAACTAACTGCATGTTTCTTGCAACCTATACAATTTGTCAGTGTCTTTTATATAGGCCATCTCTTATGGTGTTCCAGAATAAAAATATTTTTCGTTATAAAGTTAATAGGATTTAATGAATAAATTATGACTAGGTCCATGATTTTACCATATCTGTATCTTTGCTGTCTGAAAGTTGCTTTTTATTTTCAAGACTAGTTCTGTAGGGATTAAAATGACATTGTGATTTTTCTTTTTGCAAAGATTAATCTCATGAAATCAGTCTGAACTGCTGACAGGTTGGACCATATTCTTAGATCATTTATTCATTTTTTCCAACAGTTTGTGTATTTTTATTGCCAATGACGGTTACATAATAAAATAAGTATACTGGGGTAAACGATGGTACTTAGTCCAGAGCCTGTGTGGTCTGACTTCAAAAGAGACAAAAACCCAAACTCTCACACATAGACACATTTCTCTTTCTCTGTCTCCCGCCTCCCTCCCTTTCCTTTTCCCTCCCTTCCCCGCGCTCGCCCCCCCCCCCTTCCCTTTCCTTCTCTCTTTCACTGTCTCAAATAATTTTTGTTTTTATCCTAAAAAATGAAAGTCTTAGGTGAAATTGTCTTTTTCAGACCTTTGTTGAATCAAAACTAATGAAAGAGGAGCTTATAGGATATCAGGTTCATAATTTCATTGGATTTCTGTTGTATTACAGCCAATGTAGAACATGTTTTGGTTTAGTCTGTGGTTTAATGCTTCTGTGAGCCAGTTTAGCTTATGTTAAAACTGAGATGAAGGGAGGAGTGGGGAAGAAGGGAGAGGAGAAACTCGAGGGAAGACAGTTATAATGTTTTGCAGGTCATCTGTCTTTATTTTTATATTTTATGTATGGGTAAGAATATGACATCATAAAAATATATGTATTCCCAGTGCTCAGCTGGGTTGGTGAGAAAGCTTTGCATTCCCTGTCAGAACTCTGTAGCAGTATATTAGCTTCCTTCAGAAGTCTTTTGTTAAATGTTGAAGATGATTAAAAAAAATACAAACCAAATCATTGATGATTGTACTTTGATAGAAATAAGCAGATAAGAGATTTCCTGAGATTTTCCAAAAATATTTGAAAGCTAATGTTCTTTTCTCTATTGTTATATTTGAAAGTGGCAAATATTTCTGAAGGGTTAGATAATAATTACCAATACTATAAAAAGCATACAAATTTCAAAATGGTAGTGTGGGATAATAATAGCCAGTGAAAGAAAGACAGAAAAAGCAATCTATGTGAAGGACTGTAGAGTTTCACCTGTTGTCAGTTCAATATTGGGCATTATGAACAGTATGACTCTCATGATCTGAAAATTTTTTGGTAGAGTTGCATTTAGACCATTTTGTATTTATTTAGTATATAGGTACATACTTGAGTTCCTAGGTCATTTTTCTGTCATGTAAGCTCTGGAGCTTTATTTAATGAGGTGTTTTCTGCTTAGATTTACTTTACTAGCTAAAGAGAAACTTTAAATTCTTATTCATTTTCCCTTCTCCGCTTGGCTATTTATAAGATTTTCCATTTTTGCTGGGTGTCATATTTAGCATTGAAGGGTTTAGCCTTTCATGCTCTGCAAGGCTAAATGAAAGCCATCTTTTCAATACTGCTACATTAGCTTTTCTTTTTTTTCCCCTCTAACTTAGCTGCCATTTACTTGAAGAACATGGTGACACAGTACTGGCCGGACCGAGAACCTCCACCAGGAGAAGCAATATTTCCATTCAACATTCATGAAAATGATCGCCAGCAAATACGTGATAATATTGTGGAAGGAATAATTCGGTCTCCAGATTTAGTGAGGTACATTATACTATATCTGTGTGCTTTGTGGGAAGCACAGACTGTGTGGATGGGGGAGCTTAGATGTAATCATCAGCCTCAAGTTTGTTTTTTAAAAGAGATACAAAGTAATGAAGGTGGTCATTCAAAGAATACGGTTTTAATTATTTGTTTTTGCATTTGTAATTCTTTGCTTATATATATATATAGTTTTTTTTGGCTGCACCATGTGGCATGTGGGATCTTAGTTCCCCAACCAGGGATCAAACCCATGTCCCCTGCAGTGGGAAAGGAGGAATCTTAACCACTGAACCACTAGAAAGTCCCTGCCTCAAAATATTTTGGAAAGGATTTAGTTGCTATAAGTAGCCGTAAGAAAAGTTAAGGCAAACATGTAACTAAAATTGTTGTGTAGATCCCTGTATGTAAATAACCTATGTTCTCATTTAGAGCATTTGACTTTTCACTATTTGCTTTTCTTTTTCCTGATACAGGGAAATTGACTTCTGGGGGTTTTAACTTAGCACTTTTGTAATACTGTACCTATCTTTTTATTCATTTTTGTGAGCTGAGCATCTGTTCCTTTGAAGAAGATAGGATGGAGAAAGTATAAACTAGAAGTATCTCTGGTTTTTTAAATTTAGGTTAGCTGTGTAGAGTCCAGTAGATTTTCTGCGATAATGGAATCTTCTGTATCCTTACTGTCTGATCCTTAGTCATGTGGCATAGAGGCCAGTGGAGTACTTGAAATATGGCTAGTGTAACTGAGGAACTGAATTTCTAATTTAATTATATAACTGGTGGCTGCCCTTATTGGCTAGCACAACTATAGAGTCAAAAAAATTATGCAGTCTTAAAATAGGAAAAACAAATTCTTTTCGACATGAGAGAGTGATTAGGTTTCTTTAGAAAAGGCAGGAGGGAAATAGATGAATCTGAGGTCGGGAAATGAAACTAACTTCAAGAGATTAGATATAACTTTATCCCTGAGTGTGACAAGCTTTGAACTCCTCTCTGTGCAGTTGTTTCATTAAGAGGAGAAAGGAGGTGTACTGATAAAAGAAAATAGTCTTTATTCTTTTTGGTTGCCCACCTGCCTGTCTGGCACTGGCTTCCCTGTGGTACCATCATGTGTCCATTTCTTGGCAAAATCTTTACATTTTTAAATCTCTCTGAATCTTGCAAGCAATGCTTATACACAATAATATATGAAAGGATGGCTGTTCATAGCCATCCTTTGCTTGGCTTGGAATGAGAAAGGATTAAGAGGGTCAACCTGAAGATGAAATTAAAAAAAATGAAAAGTTTCAGTTTTATTGAATACAGATATGATCTATTGGTTGTTTAGGAACAGCTGCTGGTGGCATAGGATGTTATCTTTATCTTTATTATGAGACAGTTCTTTGTGGCTTTGCTTCTTTTATGTCCTGAAGGCTTAACTGTAACCACTCTTACATAAATATTCTCAAAGTTTATTTAAAGTACTGCAAAGGATCTTTTGCAGATAGATTTGGAGACACAAGGAAAAGGCATTATTTTGTTTGTTTCATTTCAGTGAATTCAAGTTATTGGCTGTTGAACTGAATACATATCTTTTTCTTGGCATGGTGGAGTCCTAATTTAGCTTGATTCACTTTCTGACCATTCGCAAGTGACCATGTAAGGGCACACTGAGAGTTTGTAGGAGAAGTTTTTTCCTCACTTTCTGTTCAGTTGTGACTGGGATCCAGTCGAGGAAATGATTACTGACCTAAGTGTTACGAGATCACATCTTTTATCACTTAACTTCGTGGTTTTATTGAAGATATGTCCTTTTTTTTTTTCTGTTTTATGTCTTGCCTGTTGCTTTTTTTTCTATGTTTCTTTGGAAATAGCTCTTAACATTCCCCTTCAAGAATTTCCAGCTAGTACTTGGTACTAAGGAAGCTTTGATAGGTGCAAAATACTGCATGGCTGGAACTGCTGATGACTGATTCCAGACTTTGGCTCATGGAGATGCTTCCCACTGTTACGTAGGCTTCCATTTTACTTACTGTGACCATATTTAGGTTAAGTTTGTCCAGTTGAAATAATAAAATACTTTTTTGTTTTGTTTCCCTGTAGGATATGATAACCAAAATATAAAATATGGCAAGGTGGGAAATTTTATAAAGAGCTGGGGTTGAGTCATTGTCTTTTTTTTGGAGAATTTTTAATGAATTTACTAATTTTTTTTTTTTACAAAGCTTATCTTTAGGATAAGACCATTTGAAAGATTTGATACATTTTAGGCAATCACTCATTCTATTTATTTTCAGTAAGTTTGAGTTACTGAGGAGGTGTTTTTTTTTAATAGGACCACTCTTTTTCTTATTGTCCTAGATAAATAACTATATAATGTAGATAAATAGGAATCAAAGTGCTTTTGTGTACAGTACTAGAGATCTTTGAAGCCTGATATTTATAACTACTTAGATTGTGGACTTTTTTCCCCCACCTTATAGAGTCCAGTTAACAATGTGTCTCCGTGCCATCATTAAATACGATTTCCCTGGTCACTGGCCAGCAGTAGTCGACAAGATAGACTATTACTTGCAATCACAGAGCAGTGGAAGCTGGCTTGGCAGTTTGTTATGTCTGTATCAACTGGTGAAGACATATGAGTAAGTTGATTTCTATTGGCTGAAAATACCAGCCTTGTGTTACTTAGAAAGAATTACATTGCATAGAGGGGTCTGCTGTGGGTGTTGTGCAGAATCAGGTTAGTTTGGGAAATGTTGGATTCAACACAAATGTGATAATTTACTACAGTTTTTCAAAGAATCTTTAATCTGCTAATGTGTTAATCTTTCAGGCAGTGCTTCTCAAACTTATTTGTTAGTTTCAGAGGACCATTTATTTAACAGCTTTCCTTGGAAATTTTGATGGAGAAGTACCTTAACATTTGTCTTCAAGTGAGCACATTATTAAGTAAACCAAACATTTACCTTTTTGGGTACAAGGTAGAAAATGCCAGTTTCTTTGCTAGTGAGTTTTGTTTCTATAAGAATTGCTTGGAAGGTGTGGGACTAGTGTCACGTTTAATAGCATTGCTTTCTAGTTTCGAATTGCTGCTCCTGCATACAAAGTTCTGTAGTCCTCCTTTTAAAATGATTTTTAGAGGATATTTTAGTGATCTAAGAGCACATAAATTTGTAAACTATTTTAACTTCTCAATATAGGGTATAGACAACTGTTTTTTCCACCACATTATTTGTTATATAATAGGAATATCTATTTAAGCTGGTATATCAGCCTGTATTTTGTAGCAAGAATTGTGGTATGATGAAAATTAATCTAAGTACTAGAAAAATTGATTTAGGAAAGTTGCAAAGCTGTTTTTAATTATTTTGAATTAGTCCAACTCTTCCTAAAAAGATTTTATGTATTCTGCCTGAAACAGGGATGTGCTCTTTCAGAGTTTTTCTCAGGTTTATTCTAACAATCCAAAGTGAAATGTAATACAGTGTTTAGAAAGTTATTGTTTTAGTTTTATATAGTTTAGAAATACTGTTTTTCATTCATTGTTTATAGCTCTTTTGTGGGGGGAGAAATTATTGCTTTCTTGTTTTGTCTTTGCTCATGTAGATATAAGAAAGCAGAGGAAAGAGAACCTCTTATAGCAGCAATGCAAATATTTCTGCCTCGTATTCAGCAACAAATCATGCAGCTCCTTCCTGATTCCTCACATTATTCTGTATTAATACAGAAACAGATTCTGAAAATCTTTTATGCACTTGTGCAGGTAAGTTTCTATAGCAGAAGACAAAGTTGATGCCATGTATTTCTGCTTGGCACATTGAAAATGCTCAGTAAGTGTCGTTATTGTTTATTGTTAAAAATTACATATTATATATTCTCACATGTATTTCTTTAAAAAAAAAAAAAACCTTAGGAGAGAACAGACTTAGGTCAACTTAATTGTCCAAGGTTATTTGAGTGTCAGAGCTGAGATTCAGTGGCCGTATGTGTTTCACCCCAGTGTCTGAAGTCTGAGTATGGAAGAAACAAGGTAGTTAACTGTCCTAAAACCTGATGATTTGACTAACCTGTCCATAGCATTCTGCCTGTAGATTGGTTATGATTATAGGAGAAGAGAAAGGAAAAGAAGAGAGTTCTTTTTTTATTGAGAAATCATATTGATGGTAGTTTGTTTGCATTTGACCCAACTTAAAGCTAACAAATGAGATTGAGTGACTCATTTACCTTCATTTAAAAGTTTCCATTTTCATATTTGAAAGCTATAATGAACATTAATATAGAATGTTTTAAATATAAAAATATTTAAAATTTAATTCTCGGAAGGCTTGGGTAAGATATTTAGATCTGGGTGGAGAAAGAATAATTGCTGTCAGTTTAAACTATTTGAGTGATGAATGGATTAAAGCTTTATTTCATGCTTTCTTGTTAACTTAGTCATGGCAAGAGGGTAGTTTCATCCAGCTAGAGAGTCAAGATAGTTTGGTTTTGTTCTTGGCTTCTATCTGACTGAAGTACTTTTATATTGTTCTAGAATATTTCACTTTAATAAGACTTATATTTTTAGCCTCACCTTTTAAACTTTTAATAGAGACAGTCCAGGGAGGATTTTTGTGTTTTTTTCAGCTTTGCCTTTTTTGGGGCAATAGGAAGGGGAAAGGATGCACCTCTGAGAAAAGAGAAGAAACTAGAATATTAAGAAAACATATTCCTTCACCTTTTTTTCCTTTTTTAAAAAGTAATCAAGTAGGAAGATGTATGATGCTTTTGTTTTTGTTTTTCTGTTCAGAAATCTTTCTCAGGAGAATCACTTTGGGGCAAACATTTTTTATTCAGTGAGATTCTTGCCATTAGACATAGTAATATCCCATTTATTCAGAGCCAGACTTCCCTTTCCCGCTGGGAGAAGCATAGCCAGGAACTGTAAGTAAGACACAGGATGATGAAATCGTTTTCTTAAAGTCTCTACTTCTACTTGGTTTGCTGAGAGAGCAAAAATCTAATTTTTTTTTCTTACATGTATGTGCTAAAGAACTAAAAAATCTGGGGAAAAAAACCCCTCATCATTTTAAACCATTTCAGTAATTTATTATGTGCTGATATAGTAATATTCTTCAGTGAGGAATCCTGGAAGCAAAAATTTAGAAGGCTTTAAGTGGCATAGTTCCAGTGTTTATGTAAGTAAAGAGTGATTGTCTATAAGGGAAAAGGCAGAAAAAATTTATGTTATAAAAAGTATGATATAATGAAATTGATTTTGTCTAAGCATTTATTAAATATTTATTGTGTACAGGGCTCTTGAATATTTCATACATATTTCAGAACTCATTTGTCCAGAAGTGAACTCATTACTATCGTTCCCCCAACCCTGAGCCTGCTCCTCTTCTTTGCTCCATCTTAAAACCAATTGACTGCCCACTGCATTTAGAAAAAAGTGTTAATTTTGTCACATGGCCTATAAAACCTTTCATCTCTCACCTCATCTTATGCTATACTATCTTATACTATCTCACCTCATCTTATACTATCTTATACTATATTTAGCTTTAGCTTTGTTCTTTACACTCCAGCCATATGGAAATTCTTTTAGCTTCATGAGCAGGTCATGTCTGCTTGTCACTGCTGAGCCTTTAAGGCACCGTGTAACCTGGAGCACCCTCCTTCCCCTTTCTGCCCTGGTTCATTTGCGCTCCTTCTCCATGTCTCAGCTTGCATATCATTTCTTCCACAGAAGCTGTCTCTTCTGTTAGTAGGCTGCATTACATGGTCCTCGTGGGTGCTCTTATCAACACCATAATGCTTGTTTATCACATCATATTGTAATTTCTTGTTTAAATGTTCTCCCCCCTCAATTAGAATGTAAGCTTTACTTACTATTATATCCTTAGCATGTAGCAGGTTTTGGAATGCGTGGATGCAGAGATGCTAAGCCTCATCTCCTGTAGCTCAAGGTGTAGTAGGGAGGGGAGTTGTACACTGTAATATAGTGTAGTGGACTGTGATGTCATGCCACAGTGTAGACAAAATTAATTGAAAAAAGTGTTTCTTGAAGGAAAGATTTTCATTAAAGTCATTACAATGAGTTTGCATCACAAAAAGATAATTATGGGAGGAGGAGTTAAGGAAACACCCCTATTTACAACTGCATCAGAAATAATAAAATGCCTTGGAATAAGCTTAGCCAAGGATGTAAAAGACCTATATTCTGAAAGCTATAAACATTGATGAAGGAGTTTGAAAACAGTACAAAGAAATGGAAAGATATTTTGTGTTCTTGGATTGGAATAATTAATATTGTTAAAATGTCCATACTATCCAAAGCAATCTATAGATTTACTGAAATCTCTATCAATATATTGATGACATTTTTCACAGAAGTAGAACAGATAATTTACCAAAGACCCTGAATTGCTAAAGCAACCTTGAGAAAAAAGAACAAACTTGGAGATATCACGCTCCCTGACTTCAGACTACACTGCTGCTGCTGCCGCTGCTGCTGCTAAGTCGCTTCAGTCGTGTCCGACTCTGTGCAGCCCCATAGACGGCAGCCCACCAGGCTCCCCCATCCCTGGGATTCTCCAGGCAAGAACACTGGAGTGGGTTGCCCTTTCCTTCTCCAATGCATGAAAGTGAAAAGTGAAAGTGAATTTGCTCAGTCGAGTCCGACTCTTAGTGACCCCATGGACTGCAGCCTACCAGGCTCCTCCGTCCATGGGATTTTCCAGGCAAGAGTACTGGAGTGGGGTGCCATTGCCTTCTCCTCAGACTATACTACAAATATACAATAATCAAAACAGTATCATACTGGTACAAAAATAAGCTTATAGATCAATGGAACAGAACAGAGAACTCAGAAGTAAACCCATGCACATATAGTCAATTAATCCACGACAAAGGAAGCAAGAATATATGGTGAAGAAAAGACAGTCCCTTCAGTAAGTGGTGCTGGGAAAACTGGAAAGTCATATGTAAATGAATGAGGACATTTCCTCATATCATATACAAAAATAAAGTCAAAACGGATTAAAGACCTCAATGTAAGACCTGGAAACCGTAAAACTCCTAGAGGAGAAAACATGTAGCACGTTTTGACATAAATCATAGCAATATTCTTTTTTGGATTTATTTCCTAAGACAAGGAAATAAAAACAAAAACAAATGGGACCTAATTAAGCTTAAAAGCTTTTGCACAGCAGAGGATACCATTGACAAAACAAAAAGACAGCCTACTAAATGGGAGAAGATATTTGCAAATGATGTTAGCAATAAGGGGTTAATATCCAAAATACATAAACAGCTCGTATAGCTCAATAACAACAACCAGAAAAAACCCAATTAAAAAATGGGCAGAAGACTTGAATAGACATTTATCCAAAGAAGACATATAGATAGCCAACAAGCACTTGAAAAGATGCTCAACGTTGCTTATCACCAGAGAAATGTAAATCAAAGCCATAATGAGCTACCACCTCATACCTGGTCAGAATACCTATCATGAAAAAATCGTCAAATAACAAATGTTGACAAGGATGTGGAGAAAGGGGAATCTTCATACACTGTTAGTGGGAATGTACATTGGTACAGCCATTATGAAAAACTATATGGCATTTCCTCAAAAAACTAAAAATAGGACTACCATATGGTCAGCAGTTCTACTGCTAAGGTATATATCTGGAAAAAGTGAAAATGCTGATTCAAAAGATATATACACCCCAGTGTTTGTAACAGTATTTTTCACAATAGCCATATTATGGAAGCAACTTGGTTCAGTGCAGTTCAGTTCAGTCACTCAGTTGTGTCCAACACTTTGCAACCCCATGAATCACAGCAC